CCAGATAAAGGGATACAGCGTGCGAGGTCCAGGAGGGTTCCATGCACAGGAGCTTCTGTCCCCAAGAAATCAGGGTGCAGCACATTCTTCATACCTGGATGTGTTCACACACCTGCAAGCTCATCAAACCCCTCCTATTGGAATGCTTACAGAGGCTTCCCGAAGCAGGCTTGACTGATCATTAACTATTTCCAGACCACTGTCCTCTCTGGATGTGTGAAGTTCAAAATTCCAACCGTCGTCCCCTCAACACAACAATAAATGCTTTCAGTGCTGTCATCACTAGGAATTTCCCAGGCATAGAAACCAGTATGTATGCATTTTCACCCCTCCCAAGATCAACTAGGCAGTATCAAAAGGGTACACACTAAATTAGTCCATTTTTCTAATATTGTATAAATGACAACAAATATAGATAAAAGGAGATGGAGGTCAGGAAAAGGTTGTGACTTATGAAGAGCTAGGAAGAGAGAGTTTGTGACAAGGAAAATCCTGCATTTCTACAGTGGTTTTGGTTACTGGAACCTACGTATGTGATACACCTTCTTAACACTATATTGAAAAACAAAACAAGATGAGTGCTTGGGACACAAAAAATCCTGTAGTGAACTATAATGTAACAATTTCTCTTTCCTCTACTTGATAATCTACTGTGACCCTGTAAACTTTTAACTTTTGGAGTAACTACCTGAATGACATTAAGAAAGCTGTGAAAAATTTCAGATTGTGTGATTTTAAACTTATTACAAAGATGAAATAAAAACACCATTTTTACTAATTTATAGACTACTGGATGCTCCGTATTACCTTGGTTAAACACATCCAAATATGTTCTTATCCTTATGATATGAATACATTCCATTTCATTTTTAAGAACTTCAAGTATTTTGAAATAACACAAACTTGGAACTAAAGAAATGCAAAAATTACTACATAATAAAATAAGTACAGTGCAAGATTGTGTTGAAATACTGAAATGTAATCCATGAAGAGAGTAACTGCCAGTATTTAAAACATAAAATCAATGACAAGTAGAAATAGGGTGAAGGTATTCTGTCCCCAATGGCTTGTGATGTGCATTATCTGTCCCGACATGTGACAGAATGCTGTTTTACTCCAAGCTTCTTTCCCTTTTAGAGTTATCTGAGGATTTGCTAAGACTGCATATCTGAGCCCAGGACCGTTTGGCTCAAAGGTAGAGCGTTGGCCTGAGGACCAAGGAGTCTCAGGTTGTACAGTCGTACCTCGCCACTTTTCGCTTTGACTTTCGCTGTTTCACTCTATTGCGGTGTTTTCAAATATATTCATTAATAAGTTGATCGAGCCCTGGCCTGTTTGGCTCAGCGGTTAGAGCGTCGACCTGCGGTCCTGAGAGACCCAGGTTCGGTTCCCGCTAAGGGCATGTACCTCAGTTGCAGTTTGTGCCCGGCCCTGGTCGGTTGTGCGGGTGGCAGCCACTCGATGTGTTCCTTTCACATCGATGTTTCTCCCTCTCTCTCTCTGTTCCTCTCTCTCCCTCCCACTCTACCTGAACAAAAAAATGGAAAAATGTCCTCGGGTGAGGATAAAAAAATAAAATAAGTTGATTGAGGCAGTGAACATGATACAGTGCGTGCTCGGTTGTCTGAGTCAATTCTACACCCCTGTATTACAATTAAAATTAAAATTACTGTACATATGGACTGTAGGCCTATATATTCAAGCACATTCGCAAATCCTTCAACATCAGGTGCAACTGCTCGAGCACTCCTTGTGTGGGCAATAACTTTTTTCCAAAAAATCGGTTGTGGTGAAACCAAGCCAATCAGAGCATGCTCTTCACTGATTGGCTATCCTGTCCTCTTCCTATCCTGACTACTGATGGGCTCAGCCTCGTGCAAGTTCGGTTCTCTCATACATGCTTCTACATTGCTCTGCATCGGAAGCATCTTTGCTCTTTTCTTTGCGATTTCTGAGAACTTTTATCTAAGCCCCATGATGGCTCCTAAATGTGTTTCTTCTTCTAATCTTTCTGATGATGAAACTAAGCGCTGGAGGAAGATGCTTACCATGCAGAAGATGAAACTCTTGGATATGATAAAAGATGGCAAGAAAATCTTGGAGGTTGCCCACCATCATGACTTGAATGAGTCTACTGTTCGCTCCATCCGTAAAGATGAAAAGAACATCCCCATGCAACGGCTACTGTCTCTTTCAACAAGGAAACAAGGCACATCGTGACAAGTCGTAATAAGTTCACACTGAAAACGAAGTCTGGCCTAGCCGTTTGGATCAGCAACAGCCGCAAGCAAAACATTCTGTTGGATTCGCTGGTCATCCGAGAGAAGGCGAAGCAGCTCTATCAGCGCTTTACAGCGAACAAACCTCAACCAGGACCCTCTTCTGCAATGTTCATGGATTTCACGGCAAGCAAGGGTTGGTTTGAGAAGTTCCAGAAGAGGTGTCATCTGAAGAGCATCATTCTCCATGGAGAAGCTGCCTATTCTGACCAACCTGCAGCAAAGGACTATGTGAACATGTTCCCGAAGATCCTTAAGGAGGCAAGTATCATACAGAACAGGTGTACAATATGGATAAGATAGGAATGTTCTGGAAAAGAATGCCTTCCCGAACATTCATTTTCAAGGATGAGGCCAAGGTCCATGGCTTCAAGGCGTATAAGGATTACATAACTACCGTTATGCTGAGGGATTTTTGCTCAAGCCTGCCCTTATCTACAAGGCCAAGAACCCTAGGGCCCTGAGAATAAAAACAAGAACCTGCTGCCAGTGCATTGAAAGCACAAGGGCTGGATCATGAAGCAGCTGTTATCAGATTGGTTCTGGCCATGCACAAGACCTATCATATGACTGTGCAGACCGAGTTCCTTCCTCTCAACACCACTTCGCTGATCCAGCCCATGGACCAAGGTGTTATTCGCACATTCAAGGCCCTCTACACGTGAAACACCCTGCAGCACATTGTCAAAGGCATGGACCTTGAGAACTTCTTGCTGAAGGAGTACTGGTGGCAGTATACCATCATGACCTGTCTGAAGAAAAACCAGGCCACGTTGAAGGACATAAAGAGACCATGAAGGGCAGCTGGAAGATGTTGTAGCCTGAAAATGTCCACGACTACAGAGGATTCACCCCAGAGGTTGTAAGCAACTCGGCAGTGGATAAGGCAGTTAGGCTAGCCCAGATGCTGGGAGGTTTCGCAGATATGACCCACGATGACATGGATGAGCCGCTAGAGACATATTCCGATCCCTTAACTGACTAGGATCTGCTGAAGATGACTAAGTATGCAAGTGAGGAGGAGGAAGAGCAGCTAGAGGGTCCTGAGGGTCAGGGGGAGGAAGGTGGCCTTGTACTTGAGCATCTCTCACAAGTCGTGAGAACTATTAAGGTAGTACAGGACATGACTGGCGAATGGGACCCAGAAATGATGCATGCATTGGGGTTCCAGAATACACTCAAAAGCCTTCTCACGCATATGAATAAACAGCACCAGCAACTGCCTATCACAATGTTCTTCAGCCACACACCCAGACACCCACTGACTAATCCTAGTGCTCTTTCAGAAGACGACGACGACGCACCTGCTGAAGATACCGCACCACCTGAAGACTCAACTACTGAGGTCGGGCCTTCAGAGGAGCAGTAATCTTGCTCTCTGCTGTGCAGTACATCTCTTCATCTTCATTGATTCATCATCAAACAAGTTGCACTATTTTCTTTTTTAATCCTCACTCGAGGACACTTTTTCCATTTTTTATTGAGAAAGAGTGGGAGGGAGAGGAAGAGAGAAATATCGACATGAAAGACTGCCACCCACACGGGGTCGGGGACAAACTGCAACTGAGGTACGTGCCCTTATCGGGAACCGAACCCAGGTCTCTCTGGGCCATAGGCCAACATTCTAACCACTGAGCCAAACTGGCCAGGACACAAGTTGCGCTATTTTTTATGTTAGTGGTTGTATGTAAGAACTGTGTGTAATTAAATGTACAGTAATATGATATTTGTAATGTCTAATATGTCTTATTTGCTCTAATATATAGGGCAATACGAGTGTACTGGTGGATAAAGGGTATTATTTCATGTCTAGGGGGCTCTAATAATGTTAAAAATGTATGTAGAAGGTTATAAACAGGTTTTCTATGCTCTGTGAAAATATGAGATTTATAAAGAATCCTACTTCATGGAAATTCATTTATCACGGTAGAGTCTAGAATGATTAACCATGATAAATGAGGGCCGATTGTATACCGGTCACAGGCACTTACATAGGTTGTGGTTCAGTCCCTGGACCTGGTGGGTGTTGGGGAGAAGCAGCAAATCAATGTGTCTGTCTCATACTGATGATTCTCTCTAATCCCCTCCCACTCTGTATAAACAAAATGGAAAAATATCCTCAAAAACTAAAAGAAAAAAAAAGACCACACAATTGAATACGTTCATGAGTTATTTGTCAAGGATTTACTGACAAATGAGGCAACATACATGTCTGAAATGCCATTATTTTCTGTCAGAGAAAAGTATTTATAGTGGGAAGTGACATCTACTATTTAAGAAATGCTTTCTTACAATTACACCTAATCCTTCATTCCTGCTCCCTCATGATTATATGATGGGCTCTACTTAAACCTAAGGGTTCCCAAGTCTGACACATTTATAGATTTACCTTAATAAAAAAATTTTCAGGCATACAGTGTCCGCAAATATCTTCATCATGGCTGACTGTATATAGGCTGTTCTAGAAATGTTTCCATTGATATAAACTACAAGATAGATGATCAGTAAACACAGTACTACATGCTTTGCGAGAAGTTATTCCTAATTGTACACTATTATCTTGAGGTCCCACTATGTGCTAAGGGTTTCCCCCAAAGTGACGACTTGTGAATACTCTTATAAGTGTTTCAGGAAGGTTGCCAAGTGGTCCAAAGCTTTCCCACAATAGTTGCGCCCATAAGGCCCCGTTCCTGTAGGTTTTCTCTGATAAACACTGAGTCCTTACTTTGTAGTGAAGGCATTCCCCCAATCATCCCATTCACAGGGTTTCTCTCTCCTCTGTGAATTCTCCCATGGGTAATGAGAATTTTCCACATTCAGTATATGCAAAGGAAGTCTTTCCTGAGTAAAATATCTGTTGCAGGGACATGCTTTCTTCCTAAACTCTTCACCATATTCACAGTATTTGTTCAAATTTTCTGCACTACGACTTCACTGATGCATTGCTCATGGTGAAGCTCTTTCCACATGCATTGCAAATACATAATTTCCCTTCATATAAATTCGCAGATGGGCAATAAGCATGGTTTTCTCCCAATTAAGCTTCAGCCACTTTTCTTGCATATACAAATTTATCTCCTGTATGAATTCTCCACATGTACAGTGAAATGAAACTTCATGGTAGTCTTTCACACATCCAATGCACATACATGTTTTCTCTTAAGTATGAGTTTGCTGATGTAAAGTGAGATCCATCATCATTACAAAGCCTTTTCCACATACACTACATACCTAGGGCTTTTCACCTGTGTGTTTTCGCTGATGTGCAATCAGATGACACTTTACTTTGAAATCTTTCCCACACTCACTACATATATAACGTTTCTCTGCTGTATGAGTCCGCTGATGTAAAACCAGCTTGCTCTTCACTGGGAAGGCTTTTCCACATTCACTACATACAAAGGGTTTCTCTCCTGTGTGAGATCGCTGATGGACAATCAGTGAGCTCTTCCTGGTCAAACCTTTCCCACATTCACTACAGATATAAGGTTTATCTCCTGTATGACTCCGTTGATGTACAACCAGCTTCCTCTTCACTGGGAAGGCTTTACCACATTCACTGCATACAAAGGGTTTCTCTCCTGTGTGAGATCGCTCATGTACAATCAGAGAGTCCTTCCTGGTGAAACCTTTGCCACACTCACTACAGACATAAGGTTTCTCTCCTGTGTGAGTCCACTGATGTACAATCAGCTGCACCTTCACTGGGAATCCTTTGCCACATTCGGTGCACACATAGGGTGTCTCTCCTGTATGAGATCGCTGATGTACAATGAGACAAGTCTTCGTGGTGAAACCTTTCCCACACTCACTACAGATATAAGGTTTCTCTCCTGTATGAGTACGTTGATGTAAAACAAGCTTGTCCTTCACTGGGAAGCCTTTTCCACATTCACTACAGGTATAAGGTTTTTTTTCTGTGTGAGAATGCTGATGCACAATGAGCTGGTTCTTCCTAATGAAACCTTTCCCACATTCACTACAGATATAAGGTTTCTCTCCTGTATGAGTCCGTTGATGTACAACGAGCTCCATCTTTACTGGAAATCCTTTTCCACATTCACTGCACACAAACGGTTTCTCTCCTGTGTGAGATCGCTGATGTACAATCAGATATTTCTTAACAACAAAACCTTTCCCACATTCACCACAGATATAAGGTTTCTCTCCTGTATGAATTCGCTGATGTTCAATCTGCGATCCCTTCCTGCTGAACTGTTTCCCACATTCACTACAGACATAAGGTTTTTCTCCTGTATGAAATCGCTTGTGTTCAATCAGCGATCTCTTGAAGGTGAAGAGTTTCCCACATTCATTGCACATATATGGTTTCTCTGAAGAATGAGTTTGCTGATGTGTAATGAGATTACCTTTCATTGTGAAGGCTTTCCCGCATATCGTACATACATAGGGCTTCTCACCCGTGTGTTTCCGCTGATGTGCGATCAGATGATGCTTTGCTTTCAAATCTTTCCCACATTCATTACATGTATAACGTTTGTCTCCTGTATGGGACCGTTCATGTAAAACCAGCTTGCTCTTCACTGAGAAAGCTGTTCCACATTCACTGCATACAAACGGTTTTTCTCTTGTGTGAGATCGCTGATGTACAATCATACAACTCTTCCTGGTAAAACCTTTCCCACATTCACTACAGATATATGGTTTCTCTCCTGTATGAGTTCGTTGATGTACAACCAGCTGCACCTTCATTGGGAAGCCTTTTCCACATTCACTACACACATAGGGTTTCTCTCCTGTATGAGATCGCTGATGTATAATCAGACAGCTCTTTGTGATGTAACCTTTCCCACATTCACTACAAATATAAGGTTTCTCTCCTGTGTGAGATCGCTGATGTACAATCAGACAACTCTTCGTGGTGTAACCTTTCCCACATTCTCTACAGATATAAGGTTTCTCTCCTGTATGAAATCGCTGATGTTCAATTAGTGATCTCTTCCTGGCAAAGTGTTTCCCACATTCGTTACAGATATAAGGTTTCTCTCCTGTATGAAATCGCTGATGTTCAATCAGTGATCTCTTTACGGTGAAGCGTTTCCCACATTCATTGCACATATATGGTTTCTCTGAAGAATGAGTTTGCTCGTGTGAAATGAGATCAACTTTCAATGTGAAGCCTTTCCCACATACACTACATACATAGGGCTCCACTCCTGTATAGTTTTGCTGATGTCTCGTGATACAACCATTGTTTTTGTAACATTTACCACATTCATTATAAATATAAGGTTTCCCTCCTGAATGAGTCCATTGATGTCCATCAAGTTGCAGCTTCACTGGGAATTGTTTATCAAATTCACTGCATGCACAGGGTTTCTCTCCTGTGTGACTTTGGTGATGACAAATGCACTGAGACTTTTTGACTAACATTTCTCCACACTCAGTATCTGTATTAGGTTTCCCTGCCATGTGAGTTTTCTGATGTATATTCAAGTCTAATTTCTTCAGGAAGGTCTTGTCACATTCAGAGCACTGTCTTAGTCCTGCATGAATTCTATGATGTTCAGAGAGGGAGTATTTCGTGGAGAAAGCTTCCCCACACAGACTGCATCCATAAGGATTCTCCTCACTATGAATTTTATTATGTTGTGTGAGAAGAGACATCTCGAAGAAGGCCTTCCCACATTCAGTGCATACATGGTCTTTCTCCATATTGTGAGTCCTCTGTTGCTGAATGACCTGGGGCTTAGTATTCACATTTTCCATACTGAAAGAGAATGTAATTTCAGGGTAACACTGTTGTTGGTTGCCATGCAGAATGCATGGCCCATGTCCATTCAACTCACCAGAATTAGTTATGGTACAGCTTCTGTTTTGGTTTTCAAAACCTAATTTTGATTTTAAAGGTTTTTCATGTATCTCACAATTATTCACAATATTGGCAAATGTGTTATGTTCACAGCATCGTTCCACACTCTTCTCAATGTTTTCAGTTTGCAAGTGACACTGTAGAGGATCATCATCTTGCCTGAATTCTACAAAAGAAGAGAACAGTCATTCACTCTGCACTCTCTCCTAATCTTAGTTTGATATAGAACAGTTTTTATAAAAATCTTCGGTAGGTAACTGGTCAGTGACAATCTATGTTGTAAAAAAGATATATATATAATTCGTTTCTGTCCAGAGTTCATGAGACTAAAGTTGTTAAAATCTTGCAATATCCTAAGTGATATGAGTATCTACTGTTATACTTAAAAAATATATATTTATTCCCAGCCATAGGTGCTCAATGGTTGAGCATCAACCTATGCAATAAGAGGTAGCCAGTTCGGTTCTTGGTCAGAGCACATGGCCAGATTCCCATTAGAGGGCATGCAGGAGGTGGATAATCGATCTCTCTCATCAATGTTTCTATGTCTCTTCCCTCTCCCTTCCTCTTTCTATAATATCAATAAAGAAAAAAATGTTTACTAGTGAAGGTGAGTTTATGCTAATGGATGGTAGCATAGGGTTTCTATACAACCTCAGGAAGGAACTAGTCACCAGACAAATTGATTAGAAGGTCACCTTTTAGCTCAACACACTGACTCATGGAAAAGGAGGAAGGGCCCGGAGAGTAAAGCTCTATAAAAATTCTTAACAAAATCTAATCCACTTACATTTTTGTTTTTTGTTTTAATCCTCACCCAAGAATATTTTTACATTTATTTTGAGACAGAGTGGGAGGGAGAAAGAGAAAGAAACATTCATGTGAGAGAAACACATCGACTGGTTGCCACCAGCACAACCCCAACCAGGGACAAACCGTAACAGGTACGTGTCCTTGCCTAGAATCGAACCCGGGTCTCTTGGTCTGCAGGCCGCCACTCTAACCACTAAACCAAACTGGCAAGGGCCACTTCTGTGTTTTTTTTAACAAAAGCATTTGCCCAGGGGATGGTCTGCCCCAGTTCCATGGGAACAAAAGTTCCTGAATTCAGGAATTTTTTAGACTCTGGCCTATATATCTACTTGTCTGTATTTTTTACAACAGTCTTTAGAATAAACTAGTAGCCCTGGCCAGACTAGCTCAGCGATTAGATAGTCGGTCATTGGAGGAATGAATCACGGGCTCAATTGCAGTCAAGGGCACGTACCTCGATTGCGATTCGTACCCGAGCCTCATTGGGATCAAGTGGGGGACAGCTACTCAATGTGTCTCTTTCACATAGATGTTTTTCTCTCTCTCCTTCCCACTCTATCTGAACAAAAATTAAAAAATGTCCTCATGTGAGGGTGAAAAAAAAAGATAAACTAGTAAACAAAGAAAGTGCTTCTATGAGTACTAGGAGCTCTTGTAGCAATTTTTAAAAAATTTTGTTTTTTCTTTATTGATTTTATAGAGAGAGGAAGGGAGTGTGAGAGACAGAAATATCAATGAGGGAGAACATTGACAAGCCTCCTCCACACATCCTCTACAAGGGAACAGACTGACCACCCAGGCAAGTGCCCCGAATAGGAACCGAATTGGCGATCCCCTGGTGCACGGGTGGATGCTCAATAACTGGGCCAAACCGACCGGGGCACTTTAGCAAATTCATTAAACTCAAGCAGGAGCTCATGTGAACCTCCAATTTATAGCCAGTGTGTCAGATGTACAGGTGATAATTTGGACTCATGACTGATATCAAAAGTGAGGGCTGTTATAGGGCTGAAACCTGAAGTTGTAGGATGTGACACTACTTCTAGGTAGATGGAGCCAGAATTGAGTTACATTTGTAGGACACCCAGGTTTAATAGTCTATGTATAGACAGGAAAAGCAACGTAATAAAGGCAATTGCAGCCTGGAAAACACGGGAAAGGAGCAAGGAGATGTTACAGGTGGAGGAAATGAGAACATGCAGGGTCGGGTAAAAATGCATTTGCAATGTTCATTTAGAAGATAATGCAATACTAATATTATGAGCACAAACTGTGTTGCGCATACTCAACTATGTATATCGACATTTTTTTTTTTTTTTATCCTCACTCGAGGACATTTTTTGTTTTTTGTTCAGATAGAGTGGGAGAGAGAGAGAGAGAAACATCGACATGAAAGGGATACATTGAGTGGTTGTCACCCACACAACCCAACCAGGGCTGGGACAAACTGCAACCGAGGTACATGCCCTAGTGGGAACCGAACCTGGGTGTCTCTGGACCACAGGTCGACATTCTAACTGCTGAGCCAAACCGGCCAGGGATGTATATCGACTTTTACCCCACTCTTTACTGAAAGAGAAGACAGGTTCACTTATGGGGTTAAAGGGAGAAGCAGGAAGAGGTAATGAAAGTGAGGGATCAAACACTGTACAAAATATTTGGCTTGAAAGGCTAAGTAGACAGAATGGCTCTTATGAAAACCAATATTACTGAGGCACAAATTGAGGGCAAAATGTAGAGTGCATAATGAAACAAAGTTTAATACAATTATTAAATATCCAGGTACAAATATGAAGACACTGGTGGAATGTTTATCTTATAAAATCTTATTTGAGCCCTGGCCTGTTTGGTTAGTGGTTAGAGCATGAGCCTGTGGAACAAAGGATCATGGATTGTACTCTTGGCTAAGAGTATGTAGCTGGATTACATATATGAAGGCCTTCAGTCTTTGCAATTTTATTTTTTATTTTTTTATCCTCACCCGAGGACATTTTTCCATTTTTTGTTCAGGTAGAGTGGGAGGGAGAGAGAGGAACAGAGAGAGAGAGAGAAACATCGATGTGAAAGGGACACATCGAGTGGCTGCCACCCGCACAACCGACCAGGGCCGGGGACAAACTGCAACCGAGGTACATGCCCTTAGCGGGAACCGAACCAGGGTCTCTCAGGACCGCAGGCCGACGCTCTAACCGCTGAGCCAAACCGGCCAGGGCCAGTCTTTGCAATTTTAAAACTTACCACAAAGTTATAGGAATCAAGACCATGATAAGAATATGTACATGTAAAATGTTCCAAAAAAGATTGTGCAGATGTTTGACCAACCCTATGAATATACTAAAAACCAACTACATATATAATTTAACAGGTGAATTGTACAGTAAGTAAAAGCATTAAAAACAAGAAATATGCTTTAGGATAAAAAAAAAAATGCAGCAGCACATCTAGGAATAAAACAAAATCTAAATTAGGAAAACAAGGAAGTCACTGGAAGCAGACATAAGCTATGACTTAATTTGGCCTGGATCTCATGTAACACAAAAAGATCTTTCCTGTTCATCAAGTGACCCAGTAAAAACATTTTAGAAGAAAGCTCAGCATGTCGGGAACAACCTAGCTGATGCCAGAATGGACAAGATTTAAAATGTCTCGGTGAAAAGAGAAAGTAAATTTTCAAAAGGATGAAAAAAGATGACTCCTGCTCTCACATACAAAAGGAGAAGCCAGAGTCCCGCTGCCATGCTGAGGAGTAAAATAGGGGGGAAGAAAGCCTACCTTAGACAATCTACATGGAGAAGTATTTGCGGGTCCATTTCACAGATCAGGAAGAGTTTAACTCATGGAAATGGAGAAAACATTTAAGAGCAATGAGAACTGAGTATGAAGAACCTTGGGGCAGGGGGGAAAAAAATGGAACAAATGCACCGAGAAAACCAGGTTATCATGGGCACACAGTATCCAAGATGAGATTGGAGATTATAGAGGAAAATCACTATTTCCTAAGAAGCCAGAAAACAAAAGGTGATCAATTGAAACTTGTGTCTCCAGAGAGCCCTGGAAAGTGTAATTTACAACAATAGAGGTGGTAATACCGGCAGAGACACTGTGACTGTGGATACAGGTGGGGTTGATCTGAGAACCCTAACAGGAAGAAAACAACGTAAACAAAAACAAGATGAAGATCAAATAAGTCAGCCCTGGCCAGTTTGGCTCAGTGGTTAGAGTGTTGGCCTGTGGTACCTAGAGACCCGGGTTCGGTTCCCGCTAAGTGCATGTACCTCAGTTACAGTTTGTCCCTGGCCCTGGTTGGGTCGAGTGGGTGGCAACCACTCGATGTGTCCCTTTCATGTCAATGTTTCTCTCTCTCTCTCCCTCCCACTCTATCTAAACAAAAAAATGGAAAAATGTCCTCAGGTGAGGATAAAAAAAAAAAGATAAAATAAGCCAGGTCAGAGCTCAGAAGACAAAAAAATATCTGTTTTCCTCTAAACTTCTACAAAGAAACAGGGTTCTCATCCATGGAGGGTGGGTCGAGTTTCCTTCTTCACTTCCACCTCTCTGACACCTGCTCTGACTAGAATGTGCCTTCCCGGCCACCCACCTGTTGCGTCTTCTTCACTTACCTGCACACACTAAATGGTGGAGCTCATCCTGTGCTCTCCATGGTTGTTCCCCTCGTTCCAACATGGAAAGCACGTCTAGTTTGCTGGCTCGATACCCTGCTCGAGAAAAATGACAGAAGACTTAGACATATTGAAAGGGGCTGGGGTCTGCCAAGGAGAGAGAATGAACAGGTTTCACATCTCTAACACAAGGACTACTCCCTCTGGAGTAGGGACACCATAACCTCCTGTCTGGGGCAAGAGGACGATCTGAGACTCCACACTTTGAGGGGAAGGCAGTTATTCTGAAGAGTTAAGCAGGTGAGAACAGAGAAGCCACTAATGGGGTAATACTTGGTGACAGGGAGCTGTCCTTACCCACTGACTCAAGGTGGCTTAAATTCTCCAACATCACGTCCCTGTACAGCATCTTCTGATCGGGGTCCAGCAGCTGCCACTCCTCCCAGGTGAACTCCACGGCCACATCGTGAAATGTCAGGGATTCCTGTAACAACTCCATGCTGTTTACTGCGAGATGTCCTTCACATGATGTGGAAGAAATCGTTTTTCTGCTCATTTTCACTTTTTTTTTTTTAATCGTCACCCGAGGACATTTTTGCTTTTATCTTCAGATAGAGAGGGAGGGAGAGAGGGAGGAAAAGAGAGAGAGAAACATCAATGTGAGAGAGACACATCGACTGACTGCCACCCACACAATCCCAACCGGGGCCCGAGACAAACTGCAATTGAGGTACATGCCCTTAGTGGGAACCGAACCCAAGTCTCTCTGGTCCAGGGGGCTGATGCTCTATTTTGAGCTTCAACTTTCGTGGCTTTACTCTATAGCGCATTTTTCAAACACTGTACTATATTTGATAATATCGCGATAGAGCGAAGCCGCGAAAGTCGAAATGCAAAGTGGCGAGGGACGACTGTATATAAGTAAAGAATCCTAGTTTGCCCTGACTCAGCGGTTGGTGCACTGGCATGTGGAATAGAGAGTCCTGGGTTCAGTTCCCACTAGGGGCAGGTACCAATATATATATAAATAAATAAATAAATAAATAAAGCTATTGCAATAATCATAAACTGCATGTCTTTATTTTTTATTTTTTGTATGGATAGAGTGGGAGGGAGAGAGAGGAAGAGAGAGAGAGAGAGAAACATCGACGTGAAGGGACACACCGAGTGGCTGCCACCCGCACGACCAACCAGGGCCGGGGACAAACTGCAACCGAAGTACGTGCCCTTAGCGGGAACTGAACCCAAGTCTCTCCGGACCGCAGGCCGACGCTCTAACCGCTGAGCCAAACTGGCCAGGGCATAAACTGCATGTCTTTAAAAAAAAAGAATTCTACTTCAGGGAAATTCATTTATTGTGGTAGAGTCTGGAACTGATTAACCGCGATAAATGAGGGTCAACTGTATTTGTAATTGTTCACAGTCGTCCATGCATTCATTCAATTAGATGTCAGTATAAAGTGAAGAAATTAAATGTTCATGATAACCTTGAAACACCTCTAATATAATCAAATTCTTATATTTCAGAGACAGAAAACATATGTATACTTTCCATACGAACAAAGGTGATTTTCTATAGGCATTACAAACACAATAATAAGAAAAGGAAAGAATAAAACAAAGTCCTGACCCATGTAGTGCAGTGGTTAGAGTGTCAGCCCCTGATTTCTAGACAAGGACAAGTACCTGGGTTACAGTTAAGGTCACAGTCCCTGTCAAGGTGTTTGTGGGACGCAAGCAATGGTTGTGTGTCTCTCACATCGATGTTTCTCCCTCTGTCTCTCCATATGCATCTATCCTTCCACTCCACTCTCTCAAATATTCAATGCTATGAATATCGCCTAGAAGGATTAAAAATAAAAGAGTCACCTGAGCCTGCGGCATTTTCTTCTGCTCTCTGACAGGAGCAGGCAGCAGGAAAGCTCTGGCTCGCTGAGTTTCTGGTCAGCTCTAGGTTTCTGTTTAGAAATCTGTCTTCAGTTAGTTCAGTCCCTGGAAATGCCGATAATCCTCCTGGGAAGTTTTCCTTGCTTCACACGATGCAATTGCTTGTGCTGTTCATGTAAGAAATGTCCAAACCTGTGGAGAATTTTTATAAGATATTTCACAAAAGCTGATGACAAATGCCAAGAAGCAAAATGACAATAGATTACATAATGCTCTGGAAAATGGCAGTTACGCAGCTTTTTCATATATTAGAATCAAAGGAAAAGAAATAGGGGGTTGCATGCAATACACTGGTGATAGATTGGAGGTGGAGCGTGAGGGGGAAGCACAGCATGGAAATCTCTGGGATTGGATAAAAAGTGAAAAATAATACATATACTTCTTTTATTTTTATTTATTTATTTAATCCTCACCTGAGGACATTTTTGCATTTATCTTCAGACAAAATAGGGCATGAGGGAGAGAGGCAGGAAGAGAGAGAGAAACATCGACGTGAGAAAGACAAATCAAGTGGCTGCCACCCACAGGACCCCAACCAGAGTCGGGGACAAACTGCAACCGAAGTACATGCCCTTAGCAGGAACCAAACCCGTGTCTTTCCGGTCCGCGGTCCGATGTTCTACTGCTGAGCTAAACTGGTCAGGGTCATATACTTCTTTTAAATGAGCAGTTGTAGAACAGTTAACAGCTAAAGTTTAATACATTAAAAATAATAATTACGTTGCCGTGGCCAGTTTGGCTCTGCAGTTAGAAAGTCAGCCTGTGGACAAGAGAGACCTGGGTTCAGTTCCCGCTAAGGGCACGTACCTTGCTTGCAGGTTGTCCCCAGCCCTGGTCGTGGGGGTCGTGGGGGTCGTGGGGGTGGCAGCCACTGGATGCGTCTCTCTCACATGGATGTTTCTCTCTCTGTCTTCTTCCCTCTCTCCCTCCAGCTCTACCTGAAGATAAATGCTAAAATGCCCTCGGGTGAGGATTAACAAAACCTGAAAAACAAAAAACAATTAGCTCTGTGGTCTCCTGCTGTGGTGCTGGAGGGGGTCTGGGGGTCTGTAAAAGGAAAATTCCCTGAGAGTCCAAAGGTATGTTATCCTAGATGAAAAAAATATTAGACAGGCTCAAGAAGGGAAAGACTGACCTCTGTCAAAGTAGATACCAGGGAGGCCATGACCATGCTAGTGACTGGCGGTTGGTTAGCAGTTCTCACTTCAGACCATCCGACAGGGAGAGTTTTGGCCTCTGGGTGGGGAAGACCGCCGAGCCCTGCGGGCGCCCCTGAGCTGTGCAGGTTCAGTACGGGGCAGCACTTCTGTCCACACCAGGGTCAGAACCCGTGGGCTCAGGAGAATATTCCACAAGGGGTTCCTCTGGGACCCGATGCTGCAGTGCTCCTGACCCCAATGCCCACAGTGTCACTGCTGTCCCTTTATCTGGTGTCCTGGAAGCCTTAGCTTCCACATGTGGTGGGGATATTCCTTCACTCTTTGGAGTTAAGGGGAGTGACTGACAGAAGATAAGGAAAATGACACCACAGAGGCAGAATAATGTTTCCTTCTTCGTGTCTAGCTTCTTTGGCGGGTCTGGTAATGAAATGGATAGTACACAGATTAAAGGGAAAAACAATCAAAATGTCATTAGCAGGTATACCTCCTGAATACATGGAAGACACTGAGAAAGACAGAGTCATTGGCCCAAATGGCCGAAGCCATCACCTAAACTACTACCTTCACCTATAGTGAAAAAGTGCTGGGAGTAGAGAGTAGTCAGGGGAGATTCTCAGGAAAAGCACAGTAAACAGGTGGAAGGTTGCTTTTCAGATATAAGGGCAGCTTTCTCCAGATGGTGCAGGTGGTTTTGCTAAAGTGAGAAAGACACCCTCACAGAGGACATTGTCCTCCCACTTGTCAATGTCCTCCTCAAGGGGTAACTTCTACCAGCTCTGCATGTTCCTCCTGGGATTGCAGTTCCTACAAATTAACCAGCCAAAATAACCAATATCCAGCCCTGGCCATTTTTGCTCAGTGGTTACAACATTCGCCCACGGACCGAAGAGCTGAAGGTTTAATTCCTGTCATTGGCACGAACCTCAGTTGCAGGTTCAGTCCCCGGGTTGGGCTCGTGTGTGAGGCAAGCAATGGATGTGTCTCTGTCACATGGTTGTTTCTCTCTCTCTCTCTCTCTCTCTCTCCTCCTCCTCCTCCTCCCCCTTTATCTGAAGGTAAAGGGGAGAATATCCTCAGGTGAGGTTTTTTTTTTTTTTTATCCTCACCCGAGGACATTTTTCCATTTTTTGTTCAGATAGAGCAGGAGGGAGAGAGAGGAAGAGAGACAGAAACATCGATGTGAAAGGGACACATTGAGGGGCTGCCACCCGCACGACCAACCAGGGCCGGGGACAAACTGCAACCGAGGTACGTGCCCTTAGGGGGAACTGAACCCGGGTCTCTCTGGACCGCAGGCCAACGCTCTAACCGCTGAGCCAAACCGGCCAGGGCCTCAGGTGAGGATTAAAAAAACAAAACAAAACAATATCCCAGAGTCATATTTGAGGGTGGCAATCTGCTGTCCTGTACATTGAAGGAACTGTGTATTTAAAAGAGAACATTCTCGCCCTGGCCAGTTTGTCTCAGCAGTTGGAGCATCGGCTCGCGGAGCAATGAGTTGCGGGTTTGATTCCGGTCAAGTGCTAGGTTGCAATTCGTTCCCAGCCATGATTGAAGTCCTATGGGAGAGAGCCACTCAATGTGTCCCTTTCACGTCGATGTTTCTCTCTCTCTGTCTCTCTGTCTCTCTCCCTCTCCCTCCCTCCCACTCTTATCTGAATGAAAATGGAAAAATGTCCTTGGGTGAAGAAAAAAATAAAATAAAATAAAATAAAACAAAAAAGAACATCAGAAAATGTTGGCTGTGAGAACGGCACAACGTGTTAGACCGGTGGGGTCACAGCCGACCTTGGTTCAGCAACTTTGCTATTTGAGTTCTGGTTCAAGTGAATTCAGAGCGAAGACTCAAAGGGAAACAGAAAGTTTCTTTAGAAATCACAGAGGTAGGAGAAGTGACGGGTAGGAGAAACGGCTCAGGAAACAAGCTACAGAGGTGAAAGAAGGGCCCTCGTGGTGCAGGAGAGAGAAGGGTAAAGGTAGGAGCCTGGGGGCGAGAGGAGCGGGAGGAGTTATAGAACCTTATTTTCCTGGAGGCTTAATGCTTAAGAGCTATTATTTGTCCCTCTGGTTGGTTCACCCCCTAAGCGGGGGACTAACCCACAAGACTTCACGTTCCCAGGGGAGGAAAAGTCAGGGCAGGGTCCAAACCGAATGGCCAGAGATATGCTAGGGGAGAAAAGGTCACCTGGGGACGAGGCCCTTGTTTGTCCAGTCCTGTCTCATTACTAAGCACCCTGGTAACCTCTGTACCTGGCCTCTGGTCCTTGCTCTACTCCTGTGGGTCTAAATGCCTATCAACAAGCAACTCACAGATTCTACACACACAGCTGGCTAGACCTGCACCATGTCCCTCACCTCATTGCATAGTAATTCAAATGTAACCGCACAAGGAATGGGTCCAGGCACCGGTCAGCACTTGAGCCAATGAAGCAGAGACAAGAGCATTTATTCCAACACTGCGGCAGTATGGGAGAGCAGTAACCCTCTCTACAACTTTCACAAGCCTTCTTTACCCATTCAGAAATAACCAGTTTTACAACAACTTTCTTTTTCAAAAATAAATATCTCCATAGCCTATACCTTCAATCATGGAAATTATTCAGTTTCTTTCCAATGAATTAACATTCTTTACTCTTAGTTGGATAACCACCAAAAAAGTAAGTGACACCTTTAAATCTACCTTAGAGCTTTTTGTAAAAAGGCCAAAAGTAGGTTTACTTAAGACTTTTCGACCGGCCAGTGTGGCTCAGTGGTTGAGTGTCAACCCATGCACCAAGTGGTGGCTACTTCAATTCACAGTCAGGGCACATGCCCAGGCCAAATCCCCAGTGGGGGCATGCTGGAGTTTTCTCTTTCTCCCTCCCTCCCTTCCTCTCTCTCTCTAAAATCAATAAAGACAAAATAAAATTTACAAAGACTTGTCTACCAATCAATGTGTAACAGCTGAAATAAGTTAAATCAATCTACTCAGATAGCTAAGGTTTTTTCTTTTCTATAAGGGGTACCTCCCAGAAACTTGCATTTTATTTATCTATTTATTTATTTATTTTAATACCTTTTTTTTTTTTTTTTTTTAATCCTCACCCGAGAACATTTTTCCATTTTTTGTTCAGATAGAGTGGGAGGGAGAGAGAGGAAGAGAGAGAGAGAGAAACATCGATGTGAAGGGACACATCGAGTGGCTGCCACCCGCACGACCAACCAGGGCCGGGGACAAACTGCAACCGAGGTACATGCCCTTAGCGGGAACCGAACCCGGGGCTCTCTGCACCGCAGGTCGATGCTCCAACTGCTGAGCCAAACCGGCCAGGGCCCTTTTTTTTTTTAAATCCTCACCCAAGGACACCTTCACATATTTTATTCAGACAGAGTGGGAGGGAGAGAGAGGAGAGAGAGAGAGAAACATCAATGTGAAAGGGACACAATGAGTGGCTGCCACTCACACGACCCAACCAGGGCCAGGGACAAACTGCAACTGAAGTACATGCCCTTAGCGGGAACCGAACCCAGGTCTCTCTGGACCACAGGTTGACGCTCTAACAGCTGAGCCAAACTAGTCAGGGTTTTTTTTTTTCTTTTTAATATTTTTTCTCCTTTATTGATTTTAGAAGGAGAAGAAGGGAGAGGGGGAGGGTGATAAAACATTGATTAAAGAGAACATCGATTTTTCTGCCTCTTGCATGCCCCCCACTGGGGATTGGGCCCACAACCTGGGCATGTGCCCTGAACAGTAATCGCTCAACCACTGAGTCATACCGGCTGGGCTGTGATGGTCACTCTTAATGCCTTAAGGATTGGCAAATTTATTAACACATTTCATAACTTTCAGAAACCGGGTTTTTTTCTTTCCCCACTGGAAAATACATTTACATTTCCAAGAGACATTTTTCATATGAGATAGTCACTGACAGATCTAAATCCATCCTCTGGCTTCTCTGCAACAAAAAGCCAAGAGTAGACAAACTGAGACGAATTAACATGTTAGTATCCTTTATTTTAAAAAGCGTAAATATTTAACATTTTAATAATTTAACCAAGCAAACCTCCAAAACTTAAGATAACAAAGACTTTGGAAAGCTATGTTTAGAGACATATAATTGTTACTGAAAGGCTTTATCATAAACCCTTCGTTTTAGTTACATTTATTTATTATTTATTAAAAACTGTCAATTATTAATTACCCAAGGCATCTTCTTGATAAATTTTGTGTAGAGTTAAATAACATGAACTTTTTTGTATAAAACCAGGCAAAACCAACCTGTATTTTATGTTTGTAACAAACAAATATATCAGTTCACCTCCAATTACCCATCTGATTTTTGTTGATTACTGGATTCCTTTACTGTACTAACAGTGAGCTATTTAACTCTCTAGTGTCCTTGGCTGCTTCTAGGAGGTTGGAGAAGAGGCAGGGGGAGGGGAGATAACAGGCCCCAAGGCTTGTTCCAAGGGCTTCGACAGCTCCCTTGAATTTAGAAGTACCAGTTATTCCGGTCACATTGAGGTTGGAGCAGTGGCCTCTGCTGCTTGCACAGCCTGCACAGGGTTTCTGGGTGGTGTTAATCTCCCCATTGTTCCCGGGACCACTGTGGGGGCACTGGGAGGAGGAGCTGGAATGTTTACAAGACTTATTTTATCTCATTTTTCTTTTATGCTCTGGGTGAGGAGTGAGACCTTTCCCCTCTTTGAACCATCAAGTTAGATCTTTCTGAGTAGAATACTTATGATGTAGCAACATGAAACCTTGCCCAGAAGAAAACAAGCTATCCTATCTCAAAACAGGAACAAGAAGATGTAAAGTAAACAAATGAGTGCTCTCAACAGGAAAAGACTGGGAAACTAGCTTGAGAATCTTACCTCACACCAACCGGCACAGCACAGTGACCCTCTCAGGGCCTGAGTGGCACAACCTCCAAACAGCAGAGATTGGGGATTCCCTACGTTCATATAACAGCAGGGAGCAAACCAAGACTTAATGGATAGGAGAACAAGAACATCCGAAACCAAAGTTGCATCACAGATGGTCAGGGACTGGGAGAGCTCTCTCGCGGAACACATCACACACACACAAATGAGCTCTCATCCCTGTTTTTTCATTTGTTAGGGGTTAGGGTGGCTGATACCATGAGAGGGAGAGCAGAGATGTTTCTCCAAATAAAAACTCCCAGCCAGCCCTGGCCGGTTTGGCTCAGCAGTTAGAGTATCAGCCTGCAGTCCAGAGAGACCCAGGTTCGGTTCCCGGTAGGGGCACGGACTTCTGTTGCAGTTTGTCCCCGGCCCTGGTTGGGTTGTGCGGGTGGCAACCACTCGATGTGTCCCTTTCACGTCGATGTTTCTCTCTCTCCCTCCCACTCTATCTGAACAAAAATATGGGGGGAAAAAAAACAAAACTCCCAGCAGCTGCTGAGAAGTTCTTGCAATCCATGTCACAGGGGTCAGCCCTCCCAAAGCCGTTGGGTCCCTAGCTAAGTGAGATAAGCCCCCACCTGTAAACAAACTGAGTAAAATTATACAAGACAAAAGCCAAAACCACCCTAATATATAATATGTACAACTGCGGACAACAGACACCCGAAAGCTTTATGGCTTCCCGTGCCCTTTCGCTTATACAGCCAGACAGAACATCAGACTGAACACTACACAGAATGAATGCCCTTTGCCACGCAGAGCTGTGCCTCCACCCCACGCTGACCAGGCTAGGTTTGGAGACCGGGCGAGGTCCGAGAGAGGTCACGTTCAATCAGGAGCGGATCAGGCTCATACCAGATGAGAGGCACAGACAAAAACAACTCTCATTAGTCTACACAGCTCCAGAGGTACAGGTCTCTCCACCACCCGGGAGGGAGCCTGGTCAGCCTCCCCGCATCCCAGACACACAGGCTCAAGCCTGCAACCTGGGGATCGAACCCGCAGCCTGTCGTTGCCCAGCAGTTCGCACAGCCGGCTGAGCAGCCACTCCAGCCAGGGCCACGGGGGAACTTCGCACCAGCTCCACGTGGGCGCTTCTCCCCTCCCCCTCCCACCCCGGTGTCAATTTCAGGCTCCGGCTACAGCACCTCCGCCTCCCCCTGTGAGAAACCAAACTCCTACTGGGACCAAAATCCCTTCCGGGGAAAAATACACACTGACCTGAGTTTTGTTCAGACCCACAGAGAGGGCGCAACAGTTGTGCTGTCGATCCGCTTCCACTTCCGCACGGCTGCTGCTCAGGCCTGGGTGGCTCGTCAGGCGCTGAGGCTGCGGAATGAAGTCTCGCGGCGCTTTCCGGTGTTTGGCGCCAACTTGGCCCCGCCCACCTCGCGGGGGCGCCATGGGGGCCGCCATGTTGGGACACCTTCCTGCCGTACAGAAGGCAGCGCTCCGGGGCTGGGGGCGAGGAACCAGGGAAGGCGGTAAAGTGAGAAGCTGTAAAAGTATCTCATTTTTCTCTCACTTCTACTCCTTTGAAAACCTGGGAAAATTCTTAGACCTTTGTGATGCACACACGGTGCACGCGAAATGGCTTTCAGCGGTCGTGGCAGAGCTGTGCTAGAGCTGTGGACTATATATTCCGCCCAGAATTTATACACACGTTGAATAATGGAACGCCAGAGTTTATTAAAATACATTTCATTTCAAAAAAAATGGAATAAAATCCCCAGACATTGTTAAATTGTTTCGTCAACGCCTCTTTTCAAACGGATGTCCGTTCTTGTCCAGGCTATGCAATGGGATAGAAAACGTCGACAATCGTTATGTTCATTTGTGCGCATTTTCTTTCAATAGCTGCACTGAATTCTTGTACAGTTGCCAGTTTTGTATAATAAACTTTATTTTTTATGTATCTCCATAGAGGTGTCTAGTGCATAGCTCAGCCAGTAAGGCTCAGTAAATTTAGTAGCATTCCAAGGGCTCAGATGTCTGTTAGATTCCAGGTCATGGCACTTGCTGAGGCTGCAGGCTTGATCCCCGGTGGGGCGGTGGGGGGTGGGGGTGGGGGTGGGGGTGGGGGTGGGGGAGGGGCATTGCTGGTGGCAGCTCACGAATTAATCTCTCTCACAAGGTTGTTTCTATCTCTCTCCCTTCCTCTCTTAAAAAAATATATATAATCAATAAAAACTTTTTAAAAATTCTAGTGTGTGAATTTTCTTTGTTCAAAGCTCGGGCTTCAGCCAGTTAAACAGTTAAATCAGTTAAACATGAAATGGAGTGAGAAAAGTTCTCATACGTGGAGCTGTGGGGATTTTGTTGTGTTTTCTCTTTAGGGGATGGACCGTGGCTGTGATCATGGTTATGATGCTCTTGAATATGACCTGAGGGTATGTGTGATTGATTTTTTTAAAATATGTTTTTATTGATTGTCTAGAGAGTGAGGAAGGGAAAGAAAGATAGAAACATCAATGTGAGAGAGATACATAGATCAGCCACCTCCTGCCTGCCACTCACTGGGGATGGAGCCTCCAGCCTGGGTATGTACAGACCGGCAATCAAAAAGGCACCTCTCAGCCCTGGCCAGTTTGGCTCTATGGTTAGAGCTCTGGGGACCAGAGAGGCCTGGGTTTGGTTCCCGCTAAGGGCACGTACCTTGGTTGTGGTTTGTCCCTGGCCCCAGTTGGGGTAGTGTGGGTGGCAGCCACTTTATGTGTCTCTCTCACATCAGTGTTTCTCTCTCTCTCCTCCTTCTCTCCCTCCCCCTCTACCTGAAGATAAATGCAAAAATGTCCTGAGGTGAGAATTTTTAATAAAGGGCACCTCTCAGTCCATAAGACACGCTCAATCCACAGCCACACCAGCCAGGCTGTATTGATTTTTTAGAGAGAAGGGGGGGGGGAGAGCACGCATAACATTGATGAGAGAAAAACATCAATGGATTTCCATCCTTAAGTATTTGACAGGGAATCTAAGCCACGACCTAGGTGTGTGCCCTGACAGGGAATCAAACCAGCAACCATTTTATTTCAGGATGGTACTAAAAACCACTGAGCCACCAGGCCAGGGTTCGATATCATTATTTGACCATTCTATAACATGGCTACAAATGGGCTGTGTAGGAGTATTATACTAATATGTTCTAGATGAAAGTGGGTGATAAATCTCCCTGTTGGATTTACTGAAAGCAAGGTACTCTTCAAAAACATGCTAATAAATTATTGTAATATAAAAATAGTGAGATAACCAGGCATGTAAAGAACCTCAAAGCTAAGAATAATGATGATGATAGAATTCAATGAGTGAAATTTGAACAGTGTCTGCATATGTCCTGACACCTAGTCTGTGCTTAGGGGATGGACCGTGGCTGTGATCATGGTTATGATGCTCTTGAATATGACCTACAATAAATTACTCCTGTACAGATTGTATCCTAATAAGTATACTTGTTTCTTACCGCTAACTAGAAACTGGAGTAAGGATCTCGGTTGTGGCCCAGTGCAATATGCCTTGTGGTGAAGATTTGGGTTCACAAAGACTAGTTACAACCCAAATTATTATTTTGGATAATCCTCACCCAAAAATATTTTTCCATTTATTTTTTTTAGATAGAGTAGGAGGGAGAGAGGTAGAAAGAGAGAAAGAGAGAGAGAGAGAAAGAGAGAGAGAGAGAGAGAGAAACATCAATGTGAGAGAGACATATTGATTGGTTACCTCCCACATGACCCTAACCAGGGCCAGGGATCAAACCTGCAACCCAGGAAGAGTCCTTGACTGGGAATTGAACCTCCACTTTTTAGTCTGAGGGCCAACACTCTCACAGCTGAGCCAAACCACAGGACACTAACCCAGAATTTTATGGTGCAGACATAGGAGATTGCAAAGCAGGATGTGGGTCCAGAACGTGGTCAGAGCTGTGGGGAAAACATGTTGAGCACTTTTGTCTCATACAGCCAGTAGGGATATAGAGGACAGGATCCCATGGGCAGTAGGTCCTCCGCACGTAAAAAGGTGAGATTCACCAATGAGACCAGGATCCTGTAGGTCTTCAGCATCACTTTCAAGTATTAGGTCCCAAAATTCACATCCCATTGTCTCCTCTCCTGAAGGGTGATTATTATTGCCACATAAGAGTATCAACTGAAGAGTCAAACTGAGACATGAAATCCATCACAGTAGGTGAGATCACAGCCTGACACCAAAATGTGAGTGAAAGTGCAGAGATCCAGCCCAAATAACCTAGGTCTCCAGAGGGTGAAATTCTCTGCTCAGATCAAGTGGAGGTATGCAAATTGTAGCTAAGCCTCAAAGAAGTTTCCATAGGAAAAAAACAACACTAGAATGGAAGAATCATGGCTTTCCCGAGAACACTGGGGTGCAAAAGCTATGTGCTCTCAGATGTTAGAGGAATGGGAGGAAAACCAGGATAATTGCAACAATGGAAACAGTAGCTTCAGCTGAGCCACCCTCATCTTCATACTGTACCTACCCCATTGAGGGCTTCACATCAGTGGTAGCAATTGTTTCTGGCTCTAGAGAGAATCCTGGGTTAAAGTCCAGCCCCTTGAATCTAACACTTCTGTTGTGTAAAATTGGGGAATTACTTCTTTCTTTAATATTGAACTTTTTCAGAAGTTTGATACTAATTTTCGCTTCTCAGGTTGTTGTGAGAATTAAAAAACAAAATGCTCAAAAAGAGAAATCTGGAATCCTGACAACAAGAGCTCAGTTTGTTACTTTAATTGATACTTGGAGGCCAACAAAAGTGCTGTCAATAATCTGCATGTCACATTCAGTCAATCGAGATTCAGGGAGCTCACCTGGAGATTCCTAGATTTGGACACACCACACTGAGATCTCAATGCCCACAGCACCTGCCTCCCTGCAGGTGGGTGAGCAGGATCTTAAAAGTTCCATTTCTTTCTAAAACGCATCCAAAAACACAGGTGGTCATTATGGGCATTGTGGGAGTGAGGGGTGACTGGCCTGGGAATGTCTCCCCAGGAAGAGGCAAGAGTTGTGCGACCCAAGACAGGCTGCAGGCTGTAGATGTCAAATTGCAAATGGACACCTTAGCCCTTGACCTCCTCCAACAGCTCAGGGATAGGGACTTACCTCATACTTGTTCACACAGGAGAAAACTGAAGCCCAGATGAGAGGAAGGAGTCATTTCCTTGTGAGTCCCAATGATACTGGAAAACCTGAAGTTCAAATCTAAGATGCCTGAATCAGGGCATGGGGAGTCTGACCATTGCCATCCTATTTCCCTCTGCACTGGCTTTGGGACACGGGAGCACCCTGCCTGTTCTGATTCCATCTGGTCTCCTTGAGACATGTTCCCACCCAAGAACCCCCACTGATAGAAGCAGAAAATGGGAGAACAGTATAGAGCAAGGGCTTATCGCATCATCAGATGCTGGACTTGAGAAAGTGATGGAGAATGTTAGTGTGGGTCGAAATTAAGTGTTCATTGCATTGTGCATAGCATTAAAAAAGTAAAAAATACAGAACATATTATTCCAATACAAAAAACATTTATTTCATAAAGCCAAAAAGGAACAAAATGAGTAAAATTCCAACATCCATTTTTATTCCACTGTCCTTTTGTTTAAAAAAAAATTGCCAAAAATCATTACAGATTAGGCAGAACATATGATCCGATGTTTTAGAAAACATACAGAAATATGCCCAGCTGGTGTGGCTCAGTGGTTGAGCATCGACCCATGCACCAAGAGGTTGCCAGTTCGATTCCTGGTCAGGGCACATGCCCAGGTTGTGGGCCAAATCCTCAGTGGGGGGGCATGCAGGAGACGGCCCATCGATGTTCTCTCTCATCGATGTTTCTATCTCTCTCTCCCTCTCCCTTCTTCTCTCTCTAAAATAAATAAAGAAAAAAAAATATATAAAGAAAACATACAGAAATAGCAAATACACATTCCTAGAAAAAATACAACCAAACAACACTGAGGTAGAACGACAGTCACAAAACAAGTTTAAATAAGGAATGATTAATCAAACAAAATATTCTCTAGGATGTGGAGGATTTCAATCTCTCACACATTGCTGGAAGAATGCAAAAAGGTACAATCCATTTATTTTCCCTCTAAAGAATCGTTTATTAATTTTTAGAAAGAGAAGAGTGCAGGAGAGAAACATGGATGTGAGAGAGCAATATCGATCAGCTGCCTCCTACAAAGAGCCCACAATCCAGACACATGCCCAGACCAGATTTGGAACTGGCAACCCTTCCGTGCATAGGACAACATCCAACCAAGTCAACCATACTGGCCAGGGCAGTACAATCAGATTAGATCACTATTAGCTAA